CCATGCATCCTCATCCATCCTTCCTTCCATCCAGCTACTCTGGGCCATGCCCCTCCTGACCTGCAAAACTGGCTGAGATGCCGTGGCCACCTGAGCTTCAGGGGCCCAGGGAAGCAAGGTGCTTCCCAGAACAGAGACACCCTTAGCTGGGTTATAAAGCACAAGTAGCACTTTGATACTTAGGGAGAAGAGCGCCACAGGCAGACAGGACAGCACTCAGAGGGGTGGAGGCGCAAGTGATGCGTGGCAGAAAGGCCAGGTCTGAAGCCACCCGGAAGAGGCCTCTGCGGCCTCACGGGGCGGGGGGCTCCGGCTCGGCTCCCTCACCTGCCTTCCGCCACTTCGTCCCTTGTTGGGAGACAAGGCCTTCCTGAGACTGGCCCTGTCTTGGCCCTGAGCACAGGGAGCGGGTGGAGGAGGACCTTTGGTGTGGTCACTCCCGGGAGGCCTGGACTCGGGCCAGGGAGCAGTGTGAAGAGGGCCACTGCCAAGCTCTGGTGGGCAGAGATGGCCCGAGGGGTCCTCGCAGAGGAAGGGCTGCTGCAGGGGGTGCCCTGGGCTCATCCAGCGTCATCCCTGGGCCGGGCTGTAGGGTGGGGACACAGTGCCCAGATGTGTGGCTCCTGCCCCTAGAGCTTGGGGGAGCCTGGGGTGCAGCACGAAGTAAACCGAAAGGGGAGACAGGAGCCAGCAGATCCTGCTGAGCCTCTGCATCCAGGGTGGCCCCAGGGGGAGTCCTCCTCTGCCTTGCCGCCCCCGAGGGTCAGTGGCTCAGGGGCCTCCCCGCTGCGGCCCAGCCCCCCATGGCCTTGGTCAGGAGGCTCAGCTTTTCCTGGACCCAGTTTCCTCCTCTGCACCAGGAGGGAAATGCAGATTCTGCCCCAGTATTGCCAGGCCCTGGGGGTTCGGGACTAGCAGGTCCTGCCGCTCTTGTCACCGTCTTAGAGACCATAGGGATCATGAGCACCTGTCATCCACAGCCCTGAGCTGCAAGCCCGGCTGGCAGGTGTCACCTGAACACAGGTGTGGAGTGAGATATTTTTAGCTCCAGAGCAGTGGAGGGCCCCACCTCCACCCGCCATCCTGGCTTCCCTCGAAAACCCTGACGCCCCGGTCCACAGGGAACAGTGGCCTCCAGGCTTCCTGCCTTTGATCCTTTCTGCCATGTCTGGAGAGCTGACGTTCCAGCAGGGAACAGGACTCCGAGGGGTCCATGGAGGCCAGTTTTGCAGGCCAGGAGGGCATGGCCCAGAGTAGCCAGATGGAAGAGCCAGGCCACACAGCGCACCTTCCCTGCTCCGCCACCTGCCTGCCCTGTACTCATGCAGGGAGTGGACATGTCCGGGGGTACCAGACCTGGATGTTGAGTAGAATTTACTTTGTGTAAACACAGGTGCCCACACCTGCTGAGCCCTAGTGCCCAAGGAGGCTAAAAACCATCCTAAAATCCAACTTGGTCAGCTGGATGTGGGCACAGACTCCTGCAGTCCAGATACTAGGGATGCCGAGACAGGAGGGTCAGAAGTTCAAAGCCAACCTAGACTACATAGAGGTCCTGTCAGAACAGACAGACAGACAGACAGACAGACAACAATAGCCTGGTCCATTTGCGGAGAGCAGGGCTCAGGCCTCACAGCACTGCCCTGGGTGGCCCTGCCCCTCTCCTCCTAGAGGACTGAGCTCCAGAAGCCAGCTGGAGGGACGCAGGCTTCTTGAGGGAGAGGAAATTTCCAGACAGTCAAGCCAGGGGTAAGAAGCTAAGGCTCAGGCTGGGAATTTAGCTCAGTGGCATAAGCACCTGCCTGGCAAGTGCGAGGTCATGAGTTCGATCCTTGGTACAAAAAAAAAAGCTAAGGCTCTGAGAATTTAAAAGCGGAAAGACAGCAGGTTGGGGCTCAGGCCCGGGGGGGGGGGGCAGCATATTAGGGGGCCCTGGGGAGGAGGGTGGGAGAACAGACACCCAGCTCCCCAGCCTGCCCAAGCCCACCTCATGACTCACCCAGACCAGATTCATCCTCTGTCCTCAGCTGGCCAGACCTCTGCAGCCAGCTGGCCACCCTACCCCACAACTGGCCTCACCCTGCTGGACCCTGAGATCGCTGCAGCACCGGCTGGCTCTGCTTCCCACCCATCTGCGCCCTGATATGGTGTCCACCAGCTCAGCGCCCCCCCCCCCCGCCCACTGTCCGTCCTCTTGGGCCTGGGCACTGCTGCAGCTCACTCTGAGGGCTCAGACGTCTCATCCTTCCCCGGCCTTGGGTTCCTCATCTGCAAAGCTCGGGTGCTGGAAGTAGTGGCGTCTCAGAGTGGAAGACAGGTGACGGACCCGGAGAGGGTACGCTCTCCCCTTCCCTTCATCAGACGTTCAGTTACACACTAGCAGGCCGTGCTTTGCCCAGCTGGCCACTAAAATCACCCGGTGCTGGTACACAATGCCCTCCCCCTTCATTGCTTTGGCTAACACGTTCCCACCATGCATGACATGAGTGACACATGCATGTCTGTCCCATGCTGCCAGATGGGACACAGGTACCACTGGTGGCTCAGAACCCGTAGCAGCAAGACACAAATTACAGCCCTGTTGTGAATGTGTTAAATCCTCAGTTTTGGTGCATAGCTAGGACTGCTGGCTTCCTGTCAGAGTGGTGTCATACACAGCATCTTAGTGGGTTCATGATCCATAGGTGTATACAGGGAGGGTCTGAGAGCCCCTTTTGCAAGGAAGTCAGGTGCAGTTAAAGCTGAGCACCTCCTATCGATGGCACGCTGCCCTCTCGGTGGGCAGAGGTTTGTGGAAGCTGGGGCTCACGCAGCCTCAGGGCGCCCCAGGCCTCAGGAAAGTCCTCTGACATCTGACACTGACATCTCTTTCCTGCAAGCTGCTAGGTTAGGGTGGCCGTGTGGCTGCAGTGGCAACCTGTAGCCACCAGAGGGTGTCCTGGCCCAGCGCCGCTCAGCTGCAAAGGGCTCTGCAAACCAAATGCTTTTTAATTGAAAATTTTTTTAATTCAAAAAGGATTTGCTGTTGGTAGTCGAGTGCAGGGTTTCCTTATGCAGGAGACTGATGTCTTGGGTAAACAGATCCAGGCCCAAATCCACCTTCAAAGGTAGTCGCTGTTTGCCCGAGGGACTGAAAGAGCTTCCAGAAGCAGCCCTAGTCTCTTGGGCAAACATTTTGGGGACGGGCAATCTTGGGCAGAGGACAGCATCTGTGGGAAGGTTATCCGCAGCCTAAGGGGGATTATGTCGGGGGACATATGTTGAAATTTCATTTGGGGAGTTAAGGAAAACAAGAGCTGAGCAGGGTGCTTTTCTGCAGCCAAGATAACCTAAAAAGGAAAAACCAGTCTGCGTGCTCCCCAAAGCCCAGCCCCCTGGGTCTCGGAGTGCTCAGACCAGGGGTCAGGAGGAGGCAGCAGCCCCTGTGACGCCCCCCCCCCCGCCTCCCCCAGTGCACCAGTGCGGCAGGGACTGAGCAGTTCATCTTCAAGGCCCATCTGCGCTTCCCTGTAACACAGCCCTGCTCCTGGCCAGGAAGACGGCTGGCCTGACTCCCCCAGGCCCTCTGCTCCAGCCACTGCTCCCCCAGCCTGCTGCCCATAGCGCCTGCTCCCCTGCCGATCCTGCCTGGCTGCGGCCCAGCGCTGGGCCTTTTCCCGCCCTCAGCTGACCTCTGGTCACTGTTCCTCGTCCTCCCACCAGCCCTGACATCAAAGGGTCTCCTGCTCTCCACCCTCCCCATCCATGTCACTGCCGCATCCAGCGCCAGCCCCCGCGACTGCTTACCTGGAGGGTTGAAAATGCAGCCTCCCAGGCCTGCCCAGGTCCTCGCACCCATGCCAGAATCTGCATCTCAGGAGGCCCAGGGGCTGGAGTTCGCCTCCCTCCCCTAGGCGCCCTCCCCAGCCCCTCCTCGGGGTGCAGGCTTGTCCTCTCACCTCGTGCTCTTCCTGAAACGCCCCCTGGTGTGGCCCCCAGCCCCATCCAGCCCTTGTCCCTGTTTCCATACCCGTCCTAGTACGCTCCTGAGAGGAGCCACACTCTGTGCCCTCCCCAGCCCCTGTGTCCTGGGTCTGGGCTGGTGTCTGATTGTTCACACCACTGTCCCCTCAGGTATGGGTGCTGTCATGTAGGTCCCTGTGCACCTGCTGTGCCCTGCTCTGGTGTCCCATGCCAGACCCCCTCTGTCCTCTAGAGATGAGAATGCCACTGGCCCCCAGCCCTCCTGGTGCCCTCCTGGGGCCCTATCCCGTGAGCCACTGTGGGAAGTAGCACTTCCACTGGGCTGTGTTGAGAGGGCCTGTTCCACTCCCCACTGCCCTCTGAGCTCTGGGAGGGAAAACCCCGTGGGCCAGTGCCTGACAGGCATCCAACACAGGCTGAAACTCGTGGGTAGAGGGATAGTTTGCAGCTGTTGGTGGCCTGCATGTACCCAAGAAGCCACCAGGGGGCAGCATGATGCCAGCCTTTGCCGGTGCCACTATCTGGGGCTGCCGGCCTCCAGCCACTGTTACCCGGATGGTGGCCTGGGCCTGGCTGCTAGACAGTAGGAAAGCAAGAGGCTTGGGGGTGCACCAGTGGCTCCGTTCTGTCACCCCAGCCTCACATCAGGTTTGAGGTCACATCATAGGTCTGTCCCTGACCAAGAGGAACAGTGGTCTCCTCTAGCAGCAGGAATCAGAGGACTCTTGTTCTGTGAGCTGGTGGGTGGGGAGGTGGCCATACAAGCTGGCACCGATTTGCATTGGCATCAGGGCATGGGGCACTGCTGGTGCTTATGAAAGCAATCAGCGGTCCCCACCTGAGCCTGTCATCCCTGAGGTGTGTTCCCAAGTATAAATGTCCGCAGCTCACATTCATCACCCATGTGTGTCCCACCGGGCAGCCCCCAGCCACTGTTCTGATGGACACTCGGGGGACCATCAGCACCTCAACATGGCCACGGTCTCCTGTGTCCTCTGGACTGACTGCTTCTCCGTTCCCGCCCTCTCTCCCCGCAGTACGAGTACAGCTTCCGCACGGAGCAGAGCGCCGCCGCCAGGCTCCCACCCAGTCCCACCCGGTGCCAGCAGATCCCACAGTCCTGAGGCGCCTCCTCGGGGAGAAGACGCGCCCACCCGGTGCCCACACTACTGACCCAGCGGCTGGGGCTGCGGGCTACTTCCCCTTGCCCGCCCTACTGCCTCCCTTCCCGCCAGCCCCTCCCACACCGAGTGATCGGACCCTGGGCAGCTGAGTGGTCACACGGTCAGCAGCTTGCCCGACAAGGCTCCCCAGCTCTCCTGGGGGCGCCATTCATAATCGCAACTAATCTATGTGTGCCGTAGTGACCCACAGCTCCTAGCGTGTCTGTGTGATGAGTTGTACTGCAAAACACCTCACCCACCCATTGCCCCCAAGGCTCCCAGTGACCCCTCTGGCTCCTTTCCTCCAAGGGAATCCCACGAAGCCATTGTTTACCTCCCGGAAGACCCTCAGCTTGGCTGCCCCCGTGAGACCCCCTTGGATCCAAGGTTGCCAGGGAGCAAGTCCCTCTCACCAACAGGGTCAAGTGGCCCAAGCATCTCCCTGCAGCCCAGAGACAAGGGCAAGGAGGAGCCAGTGGGCCAGGACCAAACCTGCCCCTCAGTGGACACCTGTGGCGTCTTCACCTGGTCCACACACTGGACGTCCAGAGGCTGGACAACTGCAGGCCCCTGCCGCCGCCAGAGGGGACTTCATTTTCTGGGGGGACAGTTGAGTGATCCAGCACCATTCTGGATGTGGGCGCTGCTGCCAGGATGCCAGGCTTGCCCACATGCTCCCTCCCTGAAGGGCTCATCCATGGACACCCGTGTGCCAGCAGCAGCTCCCCCTGCCTCAGCCCGGTGCCCTGGCCCATGACCACAGGGCATTCTCTGAGGGTCCCCAAGCACATGGACATCCAGTTGCTCCCAGAACCAGGCTATCTCAGAGGCATCTACCAGTAGGAACGAGTTGGCCCAGAAAGCCCTGTGCCCCATGCCTCTGGTTTGGGCCAGCATCAACATTTCTCTGCAAGAGTCCAGAGAGGTGCCCAGTCTAACCCACAATGACTGCCAGGAGGCCAGGGTTCATTACGTCCCTCAGGGCCCAGACCCTCACCCATGAGTGGGCTGCTTCGCTGAGACTGGCTGTCAGGGTTTCTCTGGGCTCCTCAGATTATAGGTGTCTGGCATCTTTGGGTCCCCGGGGCGGGGGGGCTCTGTGGTCATGGGGACTTCCAGAGGGGTCAGAGACGGGTCCAGTACAGATCCCCCGTCTGTGGTCCCATAGACAGCCCATGGATAATGGGTAGCCTATGTGCCCAAGAAACAAGATGATGCCAGGGCTGGCCAGGAGCTGGGGAGGGACCCAAATACCTCACACGCCAGTGTCACGCCCTGTGTCCCCAGGGCATCTCTGTGGATCGGCCTCTGCCACCGCCAGCCTTCATCTTCCTCTAGTACCTCTTCATTGCTGGGACATGGTCACTTGGTTCCCTGCCACAAGACCTACCTGGGTCCCCCCCCCCAGAGGGCTGGCTGTCCCATGCCACCAGGCACTCAGCTCACCTGCCAATGCCCAAAGGGCCAGGGGGACCCATTTCAGGGCTGGTGCTTAACAGGACAGAGCAGACAAGCCAACCCCAGCATGCTCGCCAGGTAAGGTAGCTGTGTTCTGGAGGCACCGGAGCACTGAGGACCTGTGTTTACTGCTGACTTTGTGGTGGTAGACCCCACACCGAGTGGCCTGCACAACTGGAGGCCAGCACAGAGGGGTGATGTCCAGCAGGCTGGGGACAGTGGGAAGGCTGGGGCAGAGGCTGGCCTCTCCTGCCCACTTACTTGGTTCGTGCACTTTGTCCTCAATCTCTTTCTGTGTCCTCAAGTCCCTGGATGGAAAGCAGAGTCTGATAGCCTGGAGAGGCTCAAAGGTGGCATCAGGAGAGAGGAAAGGACACCCAGAAGTTCCACAGATGCTGGTGGGGGCCACCAAGAAGAGTGGCTGTGTGGACTCCAGCAAGCCGGAGAGACCTCTGTGGCATCGTGGATTTAGACCGAGGACAGCCTTGACTGGAACGTCATGATATTGGCAGCTTAAGCTCACTAGGCAGTGATGGTGTTAAGGAGCCCTGGGTGTCTGTGGTAGATTTTAGCTACCCCCAACCCTCTGTTTCACGCCTCCTGAGAGCCAGGAGGACAAGCGAGCCACGGGTGATGTGCACACGCATACCTGCATGGGCTCAGGTGGCCCACAGGGCCCAGGGTGGAGCTTGGCCCCACATCCAGGGTCCAACAACCTTTCAAGTCCCAAGGGAGCCCTTTCTCCCCCCCCCCCCCCCGGCCACCATGGAAAGGAAGCACAGGATTCTGTTGGAAATGTGAAGGGCCACAGCCTCTCCCCTGGGTCCCCTCTGACTTGTCCCACAGCTGCTGCTGTCCCTGCCCAGCACCCAGAGTCCTTCTGAAATGACTAACCAGAGCACAGCATCCCCACCTTTTCCCTGAGGAAACACAGTCTCCTTCAGAGGGCCTTGGAAGTGGCCCAGAGGTGCCAGGGAGCCGTGGCATCTTTCAGGTCCCCTTGCAAATTTTATCGTCAGGCCTTGTTCCCCACCCCAAGTCCAAGAACAGTGCCAGCCACAGCCTCTGTCACTTGGAGAGAAGGAAACCTTGGCCTCCAAAAGAGCAGGTTAGAGCTACCCCTGACCCTGTGGCTGCCTGTGGCTGCCTGCGGCCAGTGGCCCCGAGCACTGCAGAAGGCAGTGGGAGGACACGGGGACTGCACTTGCTGAGCACCTCTCCCTGCCAGGCCCGAGGCTAAGCACATCTCTCCTGCGGTTCCCCCTAGAGAGAGCCAGCAGCAGACGCCCTCTGCCCCTCCTTACAGACAAGGGATCTGAGGTGGCTCCACATGGGCTCAGGCTGGCAAGTGGCAGAGACAGGGCTGGTGTCCTCTTGTAAGCACAGGTTTCAGACTGGCTACTGTTCCTGGTCCTGTGATGAACTTCCCAACTGCAGTCACCACGTCACGTCATGCAGTGAGCACAGGTCGCAGGTCGGGAGCCTCTGTCCTGCCCCTTGCATACAGCCCAGGGCTCCACAGCCCACAGGCTGCTGGCTGCCCGTCACTTGCCACGTGTGTGGGCTCCCGGCCTGCAGCTACTGGGAACCACGCAAAAACAGAGCTCATGGATCAGTTCATGGTCTACCTGACCCATAGCAGGGCCCCTGTCCGCTGTGTCCAGCTCCCTCTAGGGCAGCCTGGCACCTCGGGGCAGCCCGGCTTTCTTCATCTGTCCCAGGCGCAGGCCTGGGGGCTGCTGAAACCATCCCCACCGGAGACGGGCATCGTCCTCCCTGCAGAGGATCCACCTGCTCCTCACACTGTGCCAGCCCTGGACAAAGCCCTTAGGAATGGCCCCTTTACTGCGTATTTATTCAAGGTGACTCTGTACTTGGCAAAGGGAGGATTCACTGTGTGATTGTCTGTATTCTTAATATAATTTGTTAAATAAACGTTTGTTTTAATCCTTTTCCCGGTTTTGCTGTTGTGTCTCAAGCCACCAGAGGTCAGTGTGCCCCCAGGATGCCTGGTGCTCCTCCTCCTAGTTTCCCTCTGCCAGGCGGGCCTTCCAGCCTTCTAGAAATTGCTGCTGTGCCCCCTTTAATTCCAGTGACCTGGTTACCGGCCAAGGAACTAGCAGGGCTGCAGAGCCCAGCTGTTTGCTGGCTGCAGCAGGAGGAAGTCCCCGTGGCCATGAGGCGGGCTGGCCAGGAATGCCAAGCGTGCTTTCATCTCCTGTTGCCCCGAGCCCTGACTATGGGGTGCAGGGTACCTCTGGCTATCGGTGTCAGGAACACGCTGCAGTTCCCGTCCTTCAGGCTTGTCCCAACTGTTCACCTGCCTGCAGGACGCCACGCCACACGGGCAGAGGCGGCTGGACAGAGGCGGCCTGGGGCTCCTGAGTGGTGCTGGCAGCTCAGGTTTCACTAGCAAAGCTCTGAGCCTCCCTGCTGGTGACCTTTGCATTTCTGGACTCATGTCAGCCTGGGCTGTCACTGCCTGCAGCTCCTTTCACACTTGGCAGAAAGGAGTCAGAATGAGCCAGCACTCAGCTCCCAGGCACAGGGCGGGTCCCCAAAGAGCATGACTCCACCAGCCTGCTCCACACCCCACCGCCTCTCAGTCTTCCCCTGCAGCAGCAGGAGGGGATGAGTCTTCCCCTCCACCCACTGGAAGAGCCTCTGCCACCCCCCGACCCTGTGATCCTCAGCTCCTGCCCAGCACCACCGACAGAATGGGCAGCTGCCCTCCCTCAAGGACTTCCTGGGAACATGGTGGGAGGGCCTCCTGGGAACATTAGTGTCCAGCAGAGATGGAGCCACCTGGCGGCTCACACTTCAGGATCTAGGTTCTGGCAATACAGAATGCACAAAGTCTCTTCTGGGCCAGTGTCTGAGGGCTCAGGCCCTGCAGGGCACAACAAGTGGGTGGATGCCCGGGCTGGTGGGTATGATCTGCATACACTATACATGATCATGCCTGGAGGAGGCTCAGAGCCCAAAGCACCAGGTCACCAATGCAGCTGAACCTCGGAAGCAGGCCAGGCTGCGGTGGCTCCCCTACCGGTCCTGTGGCCACCTGTCCTTGGGAACCCCACTTTGCACACCAGCATCATGGTGCCCATTATTGCCTGGCACCAAGTCTACTCATTTTCTATCTCATGAGCCTCAGTCCAGAGTTCCAGGACAGACTCAGACTCAGGCAGCCCTTCTACCCTGGGCAGCTCTGGCTCAGGGTGGCAGCACAGGGTGGGCACACGGAGAGTGAGGAGCAGGTCCCGCAGGTGCAGACCCATAGGGAGGGAGAGGACAGAGTCCTTGCTGGGAGGTGGGAAAGGGGTGGGCAGGGCACCATGCATCCGCCCATCCATCCAAGTCACACCGTGTGGCACCGGCCGTCCACCTGCCCTTCTGTTCCCTGCTCCTCAGGCTGCCCACTCCCAGCCAAGCCACAGCTGCCTCCCCAGAGCTCTGGGTCTCCCAAGCTCACCCTCAGTGTCCTCTCCTTAATTTGCTCTTTCGCTGGCCTCTGAGCTCCAGCTATGCCATCCCAGGGGCCCACCTGCAAGTCTCCACCTGGGTACTCCAAAAGCACAGCGAGCCTAGCCCACTCGGAGGTGAAAACACCCTCTTATTTGAATCCTGAGCTGCTCCTCCTCCCATCAGAACAGCCCCACCATCACCCCCAGTCTCCCATCCCTCACCTGGGGCCACCCTGCCCCCAGCTGGTCAGCTGTCTCCCTTACGTGTCTTTAACTCTAGCTTCGCTGCCCTGGTACCTCCCAACCTAGGAACGAGCTGGAGCCCCTTAGGGTTCAGAAAGCCTCCCTCCTGGACCTGAGTCTCTTGTGACTCCCCAAACCCTTGGCTTTATGTCCCTTCTTACTTTGCTAATGCCCTTCCCTCTGCCCAATGTGCTGTCCCCCACTTTTCTTCCCAGTAGATTTCTGTCCCCCTCTCCAGCTTCTGCACCTCCTCTGTGATAACCTTTTTGACCCTTAGGAGGCAAAGGTGATGATTGTCCCCCATCCCTTGAACACAGGGTGCCATGTGTCGCTGGACTGCAGCCATCTGATCCCCTCATTGAATTCTGTACTTCTAGAGGAAGGTGTCCACGTCCCATTTATTGTCACTCTCCTGCCACATAAGTATTCAGAGCCCCCAGCCCAGAGAATGGCAGGTGCCCGCAAAGACTCTGAATGAGTCCCTTGACACAGGTGGGGCAGACAATGAGGTCAGGAGGCCAGGAACCATGACACCCAGCACTGGACAAGTCCTGATGTGGCCTAAAAAATACCAGAGACCTGGTGTGAGAGCCAGGCCTAAGTCCACAGTGGACTAGGAGATGGATCTGCCACCAGCTGCTCACTCCCAGCCGAGAACCCAGCTCTGGGGTGGCCAGAGAAATGGGAAAGGGCACCAGTGGCTCATAGGACCCAACACTAAGGCTACATGGGGCTCCTTTAGGTCCCGGAGACCAGGACCAGCAGCAGGCTGGGCTGAAAGGCACTGCTGAGTTTGGAACCTTCGGGAAGCGGGGTACAGTGGAGAGAAACGAGGTCACTAGGGTCTCCCCAGGCTCTCCTCTCTGCATTTGCTCCCTGGCTGCCATGAAGGGAAGGAGCCTCCTCTGACCTGACTCCCGCCATGATGTTCACCGCACCACAGCTCCAAAGCAACAGGGCCTAGCGACCCTGGACTGAAACCTGAGTCTGTGATGACACCTTAGATGGGGGGGAGGAACTGGTGCTGTGGCTGTGTTCTCTCTCCCACAGTACCCTGGGTGGGTTGTTTTCACCGCTCCACGGGTGTGAGAAAGGGAGTAGCCTTGGGAGGGGGCATGGCTGGAGCCCTGGGGTGACTGGGCGGGGCCCTGAGCTCCCGCCTCCTCCTCCCCAGAAAGATGCCACAGAGACTGCCCCTGGGAATGGCGGTGCTGGGGCCAAAGTCTTGCAAGGTTCTGAGGACCTAGCTAGCATTCCTGATTTGGAGCAGAGGGGACGCACAGGCAGAGGATAGCAGACGTTGGAGCACCCAAGGTGCATCCTTGTCCTCAGGAGAGAGGCACAGAGTTCTCAGCCTTAGCTGCCCCTGGGACTTCTGTGCCCAGACCCCATCTGGACTGATTAGAAAAGAGCCTAGAGGAGCACTGGGGACACCAGCATTTCAAGCTCTGCAGGTGATTTCAATGCATAGCTCAGATAGAGACTAAATTCCAGGCTTTTGGTCCTTTCCTGGAATTATGGTTTGAATCTCAAATGCCCCTGAGGGCTCATGTGTTAAGAGCTTGGTTGTCAGGCATGTGGCACCACTGGGTGTGGAACCTTTAAGAGGTAGAACCCAGTGTGAGGATATTAGGTCATTAGGGACATGCCCTTGAAGAGGACACTGGGACTCGGCCCCTCCTCTCTTTCTTTGCTTCCGGGTCACCACGAAATGAACAGTCTTTCTCCAACCAGCAGTCCCTGCCATGATGTTCTGCCTTGCTCCAGGCCCAAGGCAATGAGACCAAGTGACCACGCACTGAAATTTCTGGAACCTTAAGCCAAACAATTGTTCCTCCCCAAAGTTGTTTATCTCGGGTATTTTGTCACAGCAACAGAAAGCTGACTTACCCACCCAAATACATGTTACCACCCAGCTGAGCTGCATCCCAAGGAATAGTGAGTTGACAGAAAAAATGGGCACCCAAAGAGCTCATCCACCAGAAGGAAAAGAGAGATGAGCAGCCCACGGCAGACATCACAGTTCAAACAGAACCTTAGTTTCATATAAACAGTGTCCTCCCAGAGACCCTGGGCCCTGGGAATGTTACACAGGGTGGGTTGTTTTGCATAAAAGCCTATCAGTTTGAAATACACACCCAATAAGAAACAGCCAGATAAATCAGCAGTTGCCCTTTAGGATTTTAATATATCTCTCTCAGAAACTGTAGTCAAATTGATAAAATCTGAGCAGAGATGCAAAAGATTTGAGTAACCTGACTGATAACACAAAACTTTCAACCCAACATGGAACCATCCAGTGCCATTAGAGACGTCAGTAAAGAAGCCTCCAGAAATTCTCAGTATCGTGCCCAAGGTCACCTCTGATCACCTGGTGACACAATTAGAGATTTATGACAGAATGACAACATTTTAAACTTGTACCAGATTGCAAAACTCAAAACATACAACTAAATAAGAGGAAACCGTGAGGGAAGTCAGTAGGACTTCAGAGCGCAGCGATAGCGAAATTACCACGTATCAAATTCATGGAAGACAGTGAGGCAGTACACATAATGACTCTATTTACCCAAAAATGAAGGGAACTGGAAACCAACCAAGCTGTCATTTGAGGAAAGGCAGAAAAAAGCAGCAAGTAAATGAAAAGAAACAGGAAATAATAATTTTTAAAAAGAATCCATGAAATACATAAAACAAAGATGAATTATGAAAAAAGTCTCAATTTTGTCCTTTAGAGACTAAACTTCTCATGAGAGAGACGATAGAAATAATAAGGATTTAAACAAGAAGTTCTGTCCATGTTTTTCCATTTCTTTTTTTCTTCCATTTTCCCTTTCTTTCCCATGCTCGGTCTCCTGTTCCTCTTCCTCTTTGAGAAAGACCTCCCTTTTCCTATTTTCTTATTTTGCTCTTTATGTATTTTTGGGTTTCTTATGTAGGGTAAACCCTGCAGTATTTAAGCTCATGTGTCTGATTTATTTCCTTATTATTATGCTCTCAAGGTCCATCCATTTTCCCGTGACTCAAGTTTATCCTTCTTAATGGCAAACTAGTTCCCCACTGCCTACAAATATCATCGTTTTTATCCATTCATCTGCTGATGGACACGTAGGCTGCTTCCAAGATTTAGCTTTATGAATCGTGCTGGTGGGCAGGAGGAGAGAGGGGGGAGAGGGCTGGGGCAGAAAACAGAGTTACGCTGTGTTATGGACACATCGCAACTCCCCGTACCAAGTGTAATCATTTTGTAATGAAACGTGCTAATAAAAACTTAAAAACTGAAATCAGCTACAATATAACAATTAACTAAAATGAGTATCTTAGTAATTATACATCATTAAATATCTGGAAAAATCAGTATAAAAATAAACAACTATTAAACAGTTAAATCAAAGATCTCTCCCCTTTCCTTCAGTATCCCCCAAACCAAATCATCAATCATATGGCTGAGTTTTCCTCAGATTCCCAAGAAATAAGAAACTTCTTCTGAAACAACTCAGTCTAGAACACAGGAAAAGAAAGAAGCCCACCCCATTCATCTGCCTCCAAGGCAGACAAGGATGATACATGCACACAATAAATTAGAAGCCTTTTTCATGAACATGGGTGTAAAATTCTCACTAAAATACTATCTAACTGTACTCAACAGTATATTAAAAAATCATAGCGATCATTCCAAGAATGTTCAACACGGAAATGGCCATTTGGGTGTCGCTGCACTAACAATCACTACAATGATCCCAACCCATGCAGAACATGCATTTGGCAGTACCTTACTAAGAACCTCTATAAGCATCTTCTTCAGGGCAGGGACAGTCAACCATGCCACTATCACTGTTTCCTCAGGGTACAATGGAGGACTAAGCCGATGCCATAAGATAAGGAAAAGGACTGAAGCGCAGGGCTGGGGCTGTAGCTCAGTAGTAGAGCCCTTGCCTAGCGGGTCAGAGGCCCCAGGCTCCATCCCCAGCACTGCTGTAAGAAATGAAGCGTAAGGACTGAAAAGGAGAAGACAAAGCCGGCCTTCGTGGCAGGTTATGTACTCATCTTCCTACAAAACCAAACAGAAACAACAAACAGAACAAGTAAAAGATTGGGCAAGGTTGCTAGAAACACAGAAACAACTGCCCCCAGTCGATGGCTTACCTCGGTCAGCGGTGGTGGACCTAAGGCTCACGTGCCACGGTGGGATGTTGCTATCATTGACAGATCTGAAACGTCTTCCATCACTGCTCTATATGATAACAACCAACAAGGAAATAAAATAGAAAATAAGCAAACCATAAGATAGCCAGGGATGAACAAAAAGGGCAAGGCTTCCCCGAAAAGACACTCAAAAGACAAAGGATATTTAAATAAACAGAAAGATATTCTACATTTATCTTATCACTCTAAAGTCCCTGTCCAGGAGAACATTATATGTACCAGGAGAGCAAGAGCCTTTGTCTAGCATACGCCCTATACAGATAGGGCAGGGTCTGGGCACAGAATAGGTTCTTGTTAAATATATGTTCAATGAATTAGTCTGAAGAGGCCTGTCTTCTCTAATTAGTATGTGCAGCAAGATTTAAGCAAAAAGAAATAAAATGTTTTAAACCACAAATTCTTTTTTAAAACAAAAAGTACATGCAAGAGTTCTGGCAGAATTTGACAAAGTTATTCTAAAACGATAAAACATTTATGGGAGAATAAAAGTCCACGTTCAGTATCCTTTTACAAAGCAAATAGTAACAAGAAGGATTCGCTCTTCCAGAGATCGACTCTGAAAATCTAATGAAAACAGTGTGACACCGCTCGACTATAAGACTTCAGTAACAAGAAGTTGGGCGTGGGAGTCGAGGGAAACATGCGATTTTTCTATAAATCTAAAACTCTTCTAACATTTCAGTAAAATAACTTTTCAAAGCAATGTGATACTGATTCTAAAATAGGCATATGGTGATAAGTGGTCCAGAGGAATTGTCTCACTTCATGGACACAGGGACACAACACTGCTGCACACGAATCTAGGGGTGGAACTGCAGGTTACAGAGCAGGTGGAGCATCGGAGTCAGGAAATACATCCAAGCAGTCTTCTCAAGTGACTGTAGCAATCTCTAAAAGAGTTGTAGCAACCTACACTCACACCAGCAGTTCCAGAGCCTTAATAAAAAATCAGGCACATTAAGACTTTTTAAAATTAGCAATTTTATGAGATGTGATACATCCCATTGTAGTTGAAATTTGTCTTTCCCTATTGGCTAAGAAGCTGGGCATGTGTTCATATGTTTATTGGACATTTGTATATCTCTTGTGAAGATCTGTGTCTGGTTATTTTTCTGTCAGTGCTGAGACAAAATACCCAACACCCAAAATGAAGGAAGAAAAGGTTTATTTAGCTCATAGTATTTTGGGGGTTCCAGTCCATACTCGGGCAAGGGGACATGGCACAGGGGCAGCCATTCATGGCAGCAGCAGGTACCAAAGGCAACAGGACCAAAAAGGGCAAAAGGGAAAGCACACCTCCTTCCCTCCCTTACCTTGTGTGCAGCCTGGTGGACACAGCACTCACACTGCCAATCCCAGCACTTGACAATGAACCAGTCACAAATGCTAGATTCAGCTACCTCCATGACTGCATGAGGCTCTGGGGGGACATCCAAACATAAACATAACAATCTAGTCTTTTGCCCATCTTTCTATTGGATTGTTCCTCTCTTCCTTACTTTATTCCTTATACTCCTTCCGTGTTTTCAAAGCAAGTCTTTCGCCCAAGATAGGTGCACATGCCTTTCTCCTCTCTGGGGCTTGCCTCAGTCTTGGTATCTTGTAATGAGCAGAAATGAGTTTGGTTCAGTTACCATCTTTTCCTTTGTGGTCGGCCCTTCCTGTTTAAGAGCCTTTGCCAAGCCTCCAGAACGCTTTGAAAATGGCTCTAATTTCTGGCAATACCTTCACTGGGAGCCAGGTGGGGAAGCTGCCTGGAGGAAACAAGGTGTGAGCTCTAAGAGGTGGCCCTGGGGTGAAAGACATTCCAGGTGAGGGATGAACAGATGGCAGGTGTGGCATTTGTTCATGTCAGCGAATATTTAATAAGTCACAGTGTGTCACTAGGCATCACCAAGCCTTGTAACTAGGGATTCCTCCAAATGAGGAAACTGAGGCCCAGAGAGTACTCAGAAGCATACAGGGCAGTTGAGAGACCTAACTGCGGAGCAAGGCCTGGACACAATCAGATCATGGCCATCTGAAAGGCACTGTCCTGTCATGGCATGGGAATGGATCGTTAAAGGAGAAGATGGTTCATAAGGTCAGACAGACCCATTCCAGGTCTGCCACTTCACTTCACTGCCACCCTGGGGCTCCAGGCTAACAGTAACCAGCCAGGCAAGGCTTTTAGGCAGAGAAACTGAGATCAGACCACCTACACAATGGGGAGAATCGGGGAATCTAGGTGTTGGAATGGAGGCCCCATATAAGGCCTTTGGCAATGGAGAAGCGCCGTAAGGCACCTCCATTGTGGGTAAGAAGTACTGATAACCTAGAGCCATGAGACCTTAGCCAGCCAACACCTGTCCCCCAGTGTGGGTGCCCCCACTTTGTGCAGACTGGCTGCTCCCAGCATGCTCCCTCCTGGATTTTGCCAGAGGAGTGAGGTACTTGGGGTCTGAGCCAGTACTCCCACCCTGACCCCTGCACCTGTGCATCAGAGATTGCTGCCAGGGTTGAGCAACCTGCTTGAGGACCACACTTCCCACCCTAGGGTGACTCTTTGCAGGTCCCAGGTAAAGCACCTTGCAGCATGAATCCCATTTGTGGATGGGAGTGGGGTGGGGCTCCCCCACACACTTCTCTGTAACACCAAGGTGGGGAGGCATTGCTGAGCAGCATGGATGGATGCCCTAACCCCTTGGTACTATGGTCCCCCAGGATCTCGCCCTCAGGGAGCTGGTTCGCCCCTGGTCAGCCACACCTGGCTGCTGCCTCTACTGAGCCCAGTGCCGACCCTGGCTGCGTTCTGCGGGTCACCGCATCCACGCTCACCACAGTGACTCTGGAGCCTCTCACAGAGAAAGCCGAGCTGGGAGCTCCCCTGACCACCAGAAAATAAATCCACTGGCTTCACACTGCAGACGTGTGTTTGGAAGGAGGCCAGCCACTGCTGAGTAGCCCATGAGAACCACAGCTCTGGGAAGGAACAGGCCCTGCCCAGCCACCCTGGCCAACCTCAGAGAAGAGGGAGGGAGCACGGGCCTAGGGACCAAGAGCCCCCAGCCCTACCACACCACTTCACATATACTGAGCCTCAACCTCCAAATGTGTAAAGTAGGGAGGTCAATAGTCCCTGCTTTGAAAAGCTGACAAGGTTAAGATGTATATGTCACTGTTACCCAACTTCCAGGCCTTAGGCAAGCCACTTGTACCTTCCTGGGCCTTGATTTCCCCAACTGTAAAATGGGTTTAATGAAAGCCCTACAGGATCACTGTAGGCTGAAGACTGCAGACCACTGCCTGGCACCCACCCCCTCTGTCAATGGGGTGGATGGTAATGTGCCTTCAGTTATAGGGTGTCATTTAGGGACCCTTGGAAGCTGCTTGCCCGACACAGAGAGGGATGCTCCCTGGCCCCTAACTTGAAGAGGAGACTCACTGAGTGGCCCACAGTTGTCTGAACAAGGGCTCAGGGGCAGTGCCCTCCCCTGGCTGGTCTTCAGGGCTGTCTCTGCCTAGCAGAGCAGAGAAAACCATTCAGTTTTGACCACACCCAGAAAATGAAAATGGCCCAGACATCTAATCCTTCCCTTCCTTCTGGCAACTTATGCAGCCCTGACCTGAAACCAAGCCAAGATCCTAAATGTGGCATGCACGCCCAGGCCAGAGTACAGCCTCCCCCGCGGCCAGCCTCGGGGACTGAGGCAGCACCGCAGGGTCCTGGCTCGGCTTTGCCTTGCCTGGTGTGAGGTGACTCCAGGCCCAGCAGCCTGTACCACAGCGCGCCTCCCAGGGCTGACCTTAGGAGCGCCTGGGAACCCAGACTTCCTTCCCAGCCAGGACTGCTGCCCACCCATACTCCACCCCCAGAAAAATATTTGGAATGGTCTTTGACTGAAATGAGATTAATCCTCAGCTCCCTGGCAGTGTCTTCTGGCATGTGTTTTTATAACCTCCCTTTCAAATGAGAACCATTTGTCGCTGGGAAGCTAGGGAGGCCCTTCCCTAATGGCCGGGCCAGACATCACTGCCACCTGATTGAATGTCATGGGCAGTGCCAGGGGGCAGGGCTGAGGGGAGGGTGGCAGGTAAATGGCACTGGGCTCCACTGCTCCCTGAGCTGAACCTGACATCAGCCAGTGGCCAAAGCTGGAGGATACAGGTCCCAACCCTGATTCTCCTACACTGCACTCTGGCCTGGGGCTGGGACTTTGCCTGTCTGAGCCTCACTCTCCTCACGTGTAAGATGCAGGCTGCACTGGCCTGTGTCCCTTGGTGATGTGCCCTCGCCAGGTGTCTGGGCCACAATAGACTCTCCATATTTGCTACTGAAAGGTGTTGGAGTCTGTGGAAGGGCAGGTCCTTCCAGCTGGGGCCTCACAGAGGGCAGCAAATGTCCATCCTAAATGTGGCCCAAGACTGCCTGCTTTCTAGGCTCTCCCCTAAGCAAAAAGGCAACATGGCCAAGAATCAGATGGCTGGTGCTTTAGTGCATAGAAGGTCCACTTTATAGATGCGACCATGTGGCCTCTTTAACTCTGAGCACTTGGTTGGTGGCCTCCTCTCTCGGCACAATCCCCCAAGCCTCCAAGTCCTGTTTGAAATTTGCAACCCCCCCAACCCCATCTTCCCCACTTGCTGAACTGGCGACAGACCCTCGGGGCTCAGCTGGGAGGGATTTATTGGGGAATTTCAATCATGGGGTCTTGGCTCAAAAACTTGTTGCTTCCCCAGAACTTTGGTGCCGGAGGAACTGAGACCTGAAGGAGGTGCTTGGATGGATGCTCTCGGAGCCTGGAAGTCCACCTGGGAGGCCTCTAGCATGGAAGGAGAGCGCTGGCCAGCAGAAGCATGCAGGCTCTGCAAGTGTGGAGGTACCTGACTCATTCACCCCTAGGAGCCGCTTAGAGATAGGATTTCTGAGCTGAGGATGGTGCTCGCTGGCAGAGGCTTTGCCTAACACGTGCAAAGCCTTGAGTTCCATCCCCAGCACCTGGAACTTTTTTTTTTAAATCCACCTTGGTTCTCACCCCTCCCTCAGCTGAGACAGGTTTGGGCAGGTGTGTGAGGGCTTCCGTGTCAGCCCCACCCGCTGGGGAAAGTCGGGAACAGATCTGGGCTGCAGCCCGGAGCCACGAGCTGCTTTTCTTCTTAGCCATGTGGCTCGCCTCCCCTGCCGGGCCCTCCGCGGTTCTCAGACGAAGGTGGAGCCCACGCTCCGCGCTGGAGCCGGGCCAGCAGGGTCCCCGACAGAGGCCCCCCGTGCCCTTCAGTTCTCTCCCCCTCTGGGCAAAGCTGACTCGTTCCATTTCTCCATGAGGCCTCTGCAGTGATGGATGGGCTGTGGCCCCAATGCTGCGGCCCTGGGGAGAACAAACATCTTCTGCAGTCTCTCGCGAAGCCTCCCGCTTCTCGCTTAACAAGTGGTGAAAGCGCACGAACAGAAATGCCGGGCTCCCGTGACTAACGAGATGACCACATCAGGCGGCAGCGCGGGAGAGGAGCGCCGCCCGAGGGTCCCGGAGCGGGGCGAGGTGTCCTGTTCCCTCCCAGGACGCTCCGCCGCTGCGCTTTGAAGCCGGGCGAGGCCGCTGGGGCTCGCCAGGGTGGAGCGGGGCGCAGGCCGGCCTCCCCGCGCGCGCGCAGCGCGATGTGATGTGTGGATTCCCCAGATAAAGGAGCCTCAGCCTCGCCCACGAATGCTGAATCGCTCTTTTCAAAAGCCCCTTCAGATGGTTTCACTTCTCTGCCCGCTTTGTTGAAAGATGTAAAAATTTCAAACCACCACAAAGTAAACATTTCAAAACCCTCTCTTTGCAAAATCAGTCACATTTTCAAAAATCCCTCGAATTCCACCCCACCACCACCACCACGCTTTCTTTTGCAGAATTTTAGAGTGTTTCTCATTAATTTAGAAACAGCCCAGGTAGGAGCTGGTGACTTCAGGCTGTGTTTTACCGGCGGGAAGTAGCTTTGTTATTTAGTAGATTATATTAGATAAGTGGATGTCTTGTCAAAATCAAGCAGGTTTTCTTTATTAGGGTGAAATCGTAATGAACTCATCTGCTTCTAATATTTATAAAGAGAAGAGAGGCCATTAATTCTACTGCTTGTGAATAAAACCATCTGTGATTTCTTTCCATTTGATGGGTTTTGGTTTTAATATACATTTTTCACAAATAAGCACAGAGATTTTTTGGTGAAAATGTCACATTCAGGATCTCATAAAGAAAGAATGCAAAGAGAGGAAAACTAAATGTTTTGTTAGCTAAGTAATTTCTCACCTTGCAGAGCAGGGGCATCTGAGCCAACTTTAGCACATTAGGTGACGGAATCGGAATCGCTGCTAGATGCTAATGCAAACCATGACATGTTACAAGGCTAACCGTTGGTTTTGAAGTTTGTTTTCCTTCGGGAATTACACAGTTCGTTTAACCTAATCTGTCCTGACACTTGAATTATAATATTATGAGCTTCTTCAGGGAAGTAAAACAGTAGTTGCCTGCTTAAAAGCAGAGCAGAAGTTAATAAAGTGGGCAAAATGTCAAGGAGAAAAGGCTAATCGAATCATGGTGTCATTCTCTAGAGAAAATATAGTCAAGTTGTATTTTTTTTCCAGTGGAAATCTTGGACGCCTAATGACATATTTCTGTCCAGGAAGAAATTTGAACTCTGAAGCCGCACTTGATTAAACCCCAAACTGTGAGACACAGCCCACTGGGACCACTCGGGGACTTTGACTCCTGGGTGTCAGAGCTTAATTAAAATATTCATCCAGCTGCTCTTCTCTTGCCAAGGGGGCCCAGAGGAATTAAACCAATACGCTTAATTCTATTAGTCCACCTGCCTATGTACACAGCCATGCAAGACCATCTACTGGTTCCTCCACATCAGACCCACCGAGACAGCAGAAAGGCCCCTCCAACAGATATAACACTCAACAATCACAGCTTCAGATTCTGAACCCACGTGGAGAGTTTTTAATGTCCTTGCCAAGAAAATCCAAGTGCCAAGCGAGTCAGGATAAAGGTGTGTGTGTGTGTGTGTGTGTGTGTGTGTGTGTGTGTGTGTGTGTGATTCATGTGTCGTTCATCACAACACCCAGCGTTTGCTGACACCTCCGTGCCCCAGGGCCGAGCCCTCCTCATTCCTATCTCAAGGAAACCTTTGCTTCCACTCCAGGAAGTGAACGCTACCATCACCCCCACTGGACAGAGTAGAAAACTGAGGTTCGGTGGGCTACAGGACCATGAAGCCTGGAATTCACAGACCTCAGAGCCGGCCAAGCTCTTAACCGTAGGAGGGAGGGCTCTGCAGACCTTTTGGTCTTTGTTCTAATGCTAACCTAGTGATAGCTACCACACACACAGGGCACAGAGCCTGTAAAACAAAACATCAGCTTCGCTCCCCAGGCAGCCACCTTGACAATTTTGTTTCCTTCCAGAGCGCTGAGACTTAGACCAGCAGATATGTGTGCATTTCCTCGTTGAAATCACAGACGGAGCATAACAGGTACATCCCTCTGCTGCTTGCTTGCTTTTATTCATAAATAAACATAGCTTGGGAAGCTTCTCCCTCTTGATCCTGAGTGCCATTGCATTCAGTAGGTGCTGTAGATTGAATACAGAAACTCAACTGCTTCTGAAGAGCAAAAACAGTAACTTAACCGGATTTTACCTGACACCAGCATTTTTACCTGTGCTGCTCACTAAGGTCGTTGCCCACCTTTTACCTGTGATGTGAATCCTTTGCCACCACTAACAGGTATCTGAGAGATGGGTTCCTAGAAATGCCACCACCTGCCCCCCGGGACCCTGTAAGTCCCTCTCCTTGGCCCCAGGTCTGTGAAACTGCATCAAAGCATTTCTGAAGCCCTCCCCCCACTCCCCCTGCAGGCAGGTTCCATTGTTCTGCAAAATGGTAACCCCACATTTGTAATTCTGTATTTATCATTGCTAGAGCTCACATCACAACCTCAAGAAGATAATCACAGCTCCAGCTCCCAGTCCCCAAAATCACCGTGGAAACAAATGTTTTCCTTGCAGTGCTAACCCCCTCCCTGCTGGCCATATTTGTCAACCAGGGAATGAGACATTTCCCTGTGATCGATACAAATGGAATAGAAATCTATCCTGGGCGGTGGCAGCAAGCTTGGTTTTAATAAGGGGACCTCCAGAGGATATTGCATTCCTATGACAACGGCCAGCAGTCCGGGTGTTTTAGTGTCAGACGCTGTTTGATGCAAAGGTCTGCGGCTGGGGTCCAGCAGGAGCTGCTGGAGGGTTTGGGCTGAACCAACTGTGGCAGATCCTGCCTGCTACCCCAGCCCACTGCCCGTCCCCGGTCTCCTGTGAGCCACTTGGTTATGGAGGCAGCCACATTTGCCAACTGGGCTGGCCAACTGGGGATCCACAGCCACAGATCACAGCCGCAGTCCCCAACAACCAGGCAACTCTTGGAAAACCGGAGTTCCCTGAAACGGGACCAGGTCCACAGGCAGAGGTGGTAATGAATGAACATTCATCCATTTATCTGGTAACAGGATAACCCAGAAATATCCTGAATCAATTACTTTTTGTAAAGACTTGAGAAGACCCAGTTATAAACTACCAAATAAAGTAGGATGTTCTAAACACTTGGGTTTTTTTTTTTTCCCCAAACAGCCAAAATGCCTCTGGGTTCCATCTCTCCATTCTCCTGCCACTTTGAAAATTATCTGCTGATACAGACCAGGCCTGGAAAGGACGGCAGGAGCAGGAAAGCAGCTGGCATGTTGGGAAGATGGACCGGGAGTGATTTATTTCCAGGGACTTGATATTTTAGGTTATTGTTGTTGTTATATGTGTGCAATAAATCATATTTTAAAATATCTAGCTAATAGAGTTTTATTCTTTTTAAAAAATATTTTTAAATTCTCTTTCAAGTGGATGGCTTGTTTCTTGAAGTTGAATCTTCGGGTTTTATTAAGAGATACGACAATCAGAAATTGTCAATAAATTTTTCCACTGGGAAATTTCATCACCTCATCTTACCACCTAGAAAAGGTCTTGTCCTTTAAAAAATTAGAAGACCCTGAGATATTGCAGTTTCAAGTGCTTTGTTTGAACATACGTAAATGTATTTAGGCCCTTGACTTTTAACCAATAAATTTATTTGAGGAATTTTAAATAGCATGATAGGCTTTTTCTCCGAGTTTCCAAAGGCGACTCTCAAAATTGCATCTACCAAAACCTTGAAAATCCCCACATCCCCCAAGGAAGGGCTTGGGGGGTGATTACAACATCCCTTTGTGCCACACAATAGCCCCCGCTCGTGGTCACCCTCAGACACTGGACTGAAAGTAACTTGACTAGGCTGCAGCTTAAGACTAATCTTGTCCCCGTCCCTGGCAAGAGGTCAGGAGGCGACTCTTTCACGCCATGATCTCCAGCAAGATCTGACGGGGCTCCGTGAATATAACAAGTTGTGAAAAGAGCAAGCGAAAGGGGAGGGAGAGAGGGAAAGAAAGAAAAGAATAAAGGCAAAATTAAATTTCCACAATTAAGTGTATTCCTTTTTTTCATTTAGTTAATTTCCAGCCGCTCACGTTTATTGCGCATTAATTATGCATACAGCTTTTGTGTGATTTAAAAAGTGAGGAATGTGATCCTTATCCTTTTATAGTGGATCGTGCAGGCTGGAGGCTAAGGCGGTGGGCGGCAGGAGCTTCGGGTCAGAAAGAGCAGGAGCCCAGCGCCCCTCTGAGCACGGCCCCTGTGGGATACTCACGCCACTACCGGATCCCACCACTTCCTGTAGAGCAGAGGGGAGACTGAGGAGCCAGGGCCCCCTGAGGGTTGGCTGGGTGTGTGTCTGGGGAAGGACCCCAGCTCACCCTCACTGGCCTCCTCGACCTGTGTCTGTGCTCAGAAGCAGGAACATGGCCTAGTCTTGCGGGAGAGGACACATTTCCTTCCTCCAAGTCCCTCCAGCCCCCACCAACATGCCAAAGAAAGCTGTGGAGGTGGCAGTGGACTGGGAAACACTTGCCTTGCTCCCCACCCAACCCTAACCCCAAACAGAGCTGGCTGGTGACCCTCGGCCGACATGCCTGGTGAGCCCTGGCCAGGACCTTGGCCTTTCTGTGCCCTCCTCTGAGGCCCATGTGTACACTCCCGTGGCGGCCTCTGTCCTCAGGAAGGGCCTCTGGACCTTCTGCCCTGCCCCTGACTCTGGCTTTGCAGCTCGGGACCCCTGAAGAGGATTCCACCACCACTCATAATCAAGCAGACGCTGGGATTCATCACTTGGCTGTATGGGGCTGCTGAGGCCACAGGTGTAGATCCAAGAGGCCAAGGCTGCCAGCTCCATCCAGGAGAGTTGGAGCCTCCTGAGTCGCTGCATTGAGCAGAAGCATGGGGTCTACTGGGAGCCACGATGGTCCCCAGAAGCCAGCCCATGCTCTGCAGTCCTGAGTCAGGTGCCAGCTCCCCTAGGGGACCCAGTGCCTCCCTCCACTGGCCAGGCAGAGCCAAGCCCCTATGTCTGCCCCATTCCAAGCAGATGGACCCCCGTGCCCCATGGCTGGGTGATTTGGGTACAGGCTCCCTTCTCTCTGATCCAGATTCCTCAACTGGGACCCAAATACAGAACTGACACAGTGCTGTTCTGCGGGCTGTGTGCAGTGCCTCCTCCAAACGCCCATGTCAGGAGGTGGGAGCTCCCACAGCCAGGGGGACATGGGCCCCATAATCCATGGGGGCAAATAGAGTTAGAAAAAGAGTAAACTAAAGAAGGACGCTAGGAATCAAAAGGGGGAAGGGGAGCAGGGCGTGGGGTAGAAGGATCAAAAATAACCAAGATATGTTATGTATGTGGGTTTCCACCAGGCAGGGGTGTGGCTATTACTGTAAATACACTGATTTTAGAAAGAAAGAAAGAAAGAAAGAAAGAAAGAAAGAAAGAAAGAAAGAAAGAAAGAAAGAAAAGAAAAGAAAAGAAAAGAAAAGAAAAGAAAAGAAAAGAAACTCATTAGTTTTTGAGCACACAGCATAGGGACAGAGACCCCACAGAGGCTGCCCAGCTGGCCCCCTGGTCCCCCAGGCTTTCTCCCACCCTGCCACAAAGCAGCCCCCCAGGCGCGGCCCCAGGAGCCAGGGCAAAAGCAGCAGAGCTGAGCACCAGGGCTCGTCAGGCCGGCAGGCCGGGCCTACAGCAAGCAAACCCCTCTGCAGCTGCCATCAGCTTCTCAGCCAGAGACCCCAGACCCGCACCGCAACCCGCCACCCCGCCCTCTCTAACCACCGGAGGCAGCTGGGGCTTGGACCACATCACCCCCCTTTTTTTTGAAAATAAACTCCCCAGTCTCTCCCGCTCCAGTCTTCTAGAATTCTGCTCAAGCTCCCACCCCGTCCTGCGATGACTCCACTATGAACTTTGGAATAAGATTGTCATCGTAAAGAAATCAAACATGCATAATAATAAACAACATGTTTAACATTTATTGCTCTGTGTTCTGACAAATGAAAACGTGAAAACATGCCAAAATTCAAGTTTCATAAAACAATTTTTCATCAAGTTCTTTCCTTTGACAAAATATCTCCCATTCCGTTCCCGGCTGCAGAGATGCGCTCCATGTGCAGACGTGGGTCTGTGACTTGGGGGGCCCCCAGAACACCCCAGCTCGGGTGACAGTGCTCTGGCTTTCACATGGGGGACGGAGAGGGGAAGGTGCCACTGTCACTGTTAAATAGACAAGAAATCCTTACAGTGCAGCCAGTCACAGGCACCAGAATGCCACTTCTATCAACTGTGCTGAGATACCTATGGCAGAATTTGTATATATTTTTTTCTCGAAACTTCTTTTAAGTACAGCTCAGCAGCACCAAGTTCATTTTGGTACCATTTCCCATCCACCTCCAGAGCTCACTCAAGCTGCAAAACTGACCCAGTCCCCATTAGACACCCCATTAGACTCCCCATTCTCTCTTCCCTGACCCCCAGCAAACTCCACCTTCCTTTCTGTCTCTGGAGCGCGACTTCTCTGTGCCCTCGTGTAAGTGGAGTCATGTAGTATTTGTGTTTTTGTATCTGGCTCCTTTCACTTAGCACAATGTTCTGTGGGTTCATTCATGTTTCTCTCTTTCCTTTTCAAAGCTAAGTAACATTCCATTGCCAAGTGCGGCAGCACATGCCTATAATCTCAGCACCTGGGACGCTGAAGTGGGAGGACTTCCGGGAGTTCAAAGCCAACCTGAGCTATACACAAGACCCTGTCTGAAAAACAAAATTTAAAAAAATCCCATTGTCCCTAAACACTACTTCTAACATCAGTCAGGGCACAGACTCACACTCCAACACACCCAGATCTGTACCCCAATATATTCAGGTCCCCACCATCACCTATATGCGTGCACACTGAAATGTATACCTTATCCCCATTTTTCTCACACTTTGGGACCTGTGTGCACCATCTTCCTAGACCTGTGGGAGGTCCCTGCAGAGTCGTGCCCGTGGGGCTCCAACGCTGTCCTGTGTGCAAAGGTATGGGCTGAACACCCTGTGGCTCTCTGGGGCAGCTCTGGGAGGCTTTGCAGAGCCCTGGATACCATAGCTAGACGGTCCCAGGAGTCACCGCAGTGCAGGAGTCGAGGAAGATTTGGGTGCTTGAACCCCAGCCTTGTTCTACCCTGGATCCTGGCCCTGTGCCCCCTCAGCAGGGGGAAGGGAAGAGGTCACCTGCGGAGGCACTGTATCTCTTCACCCAAACTCTGCTTCTGTAGCCCCAAAGGGAGGCAGGGCCTGGTGGGGGCAGCCCAGGTCTCCTGTAGATCCGACCCGGCTCAGGTCCTCGCCAAGGCCCTGCTCTGCCCACGGTCACTCTCACTGGGCTGAGGTGTGTTACCTTCATGCTCACTCAAGCATGCCTGAGCGCCTACTGTACGCCACCTCTGCTCTTCTGGAGCTTGTGGGCTCTGTAACCAGAGTGTCACTCTGTCCTCCCTCTCTTGTCCTGCTCCAACCAAAACCCAAGGGGACCGTCCGAATCATATACTCTGCAAGGCTGATTTTCCTAGCTGAGATGCCTGTGCAGATGTCTTGACCAGTCCTCAAGCCCTCGCCTCCCCCATTACTATCAATTTTCATCGAACAGGGTGCTGTGCAGAGAATCACCTCACTCTGCGAAGTGGACACGGTATCTAACAACGCACCTGAAACTTACTTTCAGACTTACAGCAAAACACACCTGGACAGAGCCCTGTGTATACAGAGACACAGGGCAGGGACGGCAGTGTGTCTGTGTGAGCTCGGCGCACAGCCACCTCCCTCCAGGGACACAACCCAAGGGCCCTGCCGAGGTCTAAGACCATTGCTAGTTCATGCGTCCCAGACGTAAACTGTGTATGCACAACACACATCCCCACAACACTGTTTCTCCTGCTCATATATAGGGTGAAATTTAATTTATAAATTAGGCACAGTAAGGATTAACCATACACACTTAAAAAAATCATAGACCGAAATAAAAATGATGGGAATGTGGTCTCATGAAAGAGTCAAGATAAATATATTCTTGGACAAAGGTTTGCCACAGGTAACTGAAACCTGCAGATAAGGAGTGGGGGTGGGGGACTATTGTACTCTTCCTAAAAATGGTTTATGTTTGAACGTAAGGAATCGCTGGGAGGGGCTAAGGATTTAGCTTAGCAGTTAAGCGCCTGCCTGGCAAGTGTGAGATCATGAGTTCGATCCCAGTAAACAAATAAATCAATAGTGGGGGGGCGGGTTGTGGGTCTCATCATGCCCCTCCCTTCCTCTTTTCCTCTGCATCTTTTAACCACAAAGTGACTTGGAGATGCCAGGGACACACCGATGCCAGGACATGGGGAGAACC